ACAGATTGCCTGCATAGAGAGGACTAAACAAGTGGCCTGAAGGAACTCTGGGATACAATCCAGTCCAGAGGACTTCCAGGACCGAAGTCAAGCTGGGGCTGCATGCACACAGGAAAGCAATAGGGTTCAGATCCTAGGACCCAGCTTAACACGGGCTTGGAACCTCCATCACCACAGGGTCCTGGGACCCTAGGTCCAAGCCCTAGGTTAACACAATTGGTGTATGGACGCAAGGGAGTTTAAGCTTGAGCGCTCTCATTGCTGTGTAGACATACCCGAAGGGTGCATCTCAGGTCCCCAAAAGCTAACGTCTGCCATGGTCCTGTGGTAAGTTTAATGAGCCCATAAAAGAAGAAAAAACTCCCCACAGAAATTGTCATAGAAAAATATCTAGATATAAAGAATGAGAGTGACTGAAGAGACTATGGATAATGAGGCATTTGGTTATCATGGTGCCACATGTGAACATGGATGACTACATAGAGAATCTTGTTGTGAGTAAGGTATGACTGAGTTGGGAAACAAATTAGGGGTCTGAGGTAAAACCTACTGAAGTCCATGGGAGTCTTTCTATGGACTTCAGTGGCCTTTGGATCAGGTCTGAGCTGTCATCCAAATTCCAAATACCACTAGTGGGAACTGAGATGGCATAGGTACTGCATGTGTGAAAATACTCTCCATAAGAGCCTCTCTGATATATGGAGGGTACCACTAGCACCACCACCTCTTCTGAAAAAAGGGAGTCTGCAAGAGTCTCATAAAGAAGAGTGATAAAGGGAACTTTAGCAAGTGATTTGTGTGTATGCTATACACGTACACCGTATTTGAAGAAGTGCTGACCCACCAGTTGGATTTTTTGCAAGATAGCTGGCTTTATAAATTAATCTATCATTTACTTTGTTTAGTACCAAGTAAACAATGTGACATATATGCAAGTAATGTCCACCAAACTAACTCCCAGGTTGCCTCTGGAGGAACAAATTAATTTATTCTTTGTATAGATGTGGCCTTTGAACATGTTCCATGTGTGACACAGGGTTAGATTAATGATCCATTACAGGAATTATTTCCCAGGTCACAATCTTAGAAATGACTTATGGTAAATCAATGGCACCCACTTCTCTGAGAACATTCTGTATTAAGTTGTTCCATCTAGCTTACTCTGACTCGCTGAGACAATGAACTCCTTTTGTCATGCAGTATCCAGGCTACTTGAATTTGAGAGTTTAATGTGTGACTTCAAGGAAATAAGAAAGCAGGAAAAATATGTAATCCAAAAGCAAAGGACAAGTAGCTCTTCTGTTAATAAGATTATATATTTCCTACAGCAGAGAAAACACTACCTTTTTCCACAGAAGCTGAAAAATCCTTATGCTGATTTTTTTTTTTTTTGGCTGGTATAATTGCCATTTGTTTTTCCTAGAAGAGCAAATAGATGAAAAGGGCTGACTTTTCTGAGAGTATCTATTTGCTTGAAGATTTTAATGTTTGTGGTTTAACTTAAATGTTATGAAGTTTATTTTTATAAGTGCGATACTATGATAGAATACACCCCTACACAGTGCTTAGTAATCTTTGTATAAAGTATGTCTTGTAACGTATCATTTGAAAACTCATAATTTGCTGGTCAGTATTGTCCTAGTAAAATATGTGGGGCAACAGTGTATGTGAAGTTATAATATTCCCCTGCATGTTCCAAACCCTGCAGCCCTGCCCAAACAGAAATTGGCAAACAGGTCTGCCCTAAACAAAGGAATATGTGCTCTACTTAATTTGCATGTAAGCAGTAAACAGCATCATCATGCAGGAAGGGAAGACAAAAGATGTTCAAACGGGTGAAAAAAAGTCAGGGAATACCCTTCTACTTAGACTATTTGGATCCTGGTTCTCAGCTGGAAATGTTTGTCATGAGGGGGACTGAAACTATAAAAAGGAGGGACAAACCCCCAAGACACTCCTCCCTCTCTTGCATTCACTGCACCTGAAGAGACAAAGGAAACAAGCTCTGGACTCTGAGGGGAGTCAAACTTTTCTTTGAATCTAATATAGTTTGTCAGACATTAGTAAATGTTTTATCCTTATTTTTCTTGTACTGTAATCATTTCTAATTTTGTCACCTCATTACTTGCACTCATTTAAAATCTATCTCTTTGTAGTTAATAAACTTGTTTTACTCTTTTATCTAATCCAGCATGTTCAAGTTGATGTATCAGGGCAACTCTATTTGGGGTTACAAGTTGTGTGCATATTTTCCCTTAAAGGAATAACAGACTTAATATATTCATACTGTTGAAGACAGGGCTGGGCACGTCAGGAAGTACATTTCTGGGGGGAAATATGAGACTGTAAGTGTGTTGGGGTCACCCTGTGGTAATCTTTAAGGTTGGTAAGAGCCAAGATGTGGCTGGCTGGAGGCAGCACACACACAGACACTGCTGGGAGTCATTTACATTCTGGATGCTATTTGTAAGCTGCAAGGCATTGTAAAGGACACCACACATTCCAGGGCAGGGGTGACACAGATACTCATTGGTCTGGATTGTACCCTGGTATGTCACAAATACGATGTCTGGTCCTAAATAGAATTTTTTTAAGTTCTACATAGTAATTTTTCTATTGTATCAAATGCTAAGTCAGTTTCTCAGTCCAGAGAGTAAATAGCAATGCATACTTCAAGGCCTCATCTTAACACCAAAGTTGTTCTGCTTTGACCCTACCAGTACAGTTAATGTGGGATGATCCCTCCAAGTGTGGATGCAGTTATATTGGCATAAAGGTGCCTTAACCAGTGTAGCTTATTTCCACACAAGGAGAGGAATAAGGTATACCATCATGAGGCATGCTAGATGTTGTGCTGGTAAACTACGGCAGTAGAAAACCATACCCCTAAGCAAAATAGTTATACCAGAACAATAAATGTGTATAGATCAGACCGAGGGGCTTTAGGAAACAGGGTGAGAAAAATAAGATGGCAACTGTTACAGTTGGGAATTTCTGTTCCCAAGGAATTACCAGTTTCAAACCTATGAAAGAAATGGCTTCAGGATTTAAAAACCATTTCAGACAGTTGCTAGATTACAAACTATAGGCCTGATTTTCTTCAGAGGTTCTGAGCACCCACAGCGCCTATGAAGTCAACTGGAGCTGTGAGTGCTGAGCACCTTTGTATAACAGACCCTTAGAGAAATTTTGGCAATTTTCCTGAATTACAACTAGGTGAGAAGGATTGCTTTTTTTATTATTATTAGCAGCTAGACTCTGTATTGTGCAGTACTGGAAAAATCGGACCCCTCCTCCTATGGCAGTGTTTCTCAAACTGGGGTCACCGCTTGTGTAGGGAAAGCCCCTGGCAGGCCGGGCCGGTTCGTTTACCTGCCCCGTCCGCAGGTCCAGCCGATCGCGGCTCCCACTGGCCACGGTTCGCCGCTGCAGGCCAATGGGAGCTGCTGGAAGTGGCGGCCAGCACATCCCTCGGCCCGCACCACTTCCAGCAGCCCCCATTGGCCCAGAGTAGCGAACCGTGGCCAGTGGGAGCAGCTATCGGCCGGACCTGTGGACAGGACAGGTAAACAAACCGGCCCCTGGCAGGGGCTTTCCCTACACAAGCGGCGACCCCAGTTTGAGAAACACTGTCCTATGGAGCTGTAGTACAGTAAAATATGGACTGTCCTTATAACGAAGAACCCCTCCCATCGGTGTAAGTAGTGTCTACATTGAAGTGCTACGGCAGCACATCTGCAGCTGTGACTCTGTAGTGGTTTAAGTGTAGACATGCCCTAGACCTCTTCTAGGCCTGTTAGATACAAAGATCATCTCTCACATTTCAACAAAACTGTAAAAGAGACAATAAACTCTGTATTTCTGGGTAAAGAAACACACAAATTCAGAAAACTTTCAAACATTGGAGGTCATTATGGTTCACTGTTTGCTATTCTTTCCCCAGGGCACACTTCATTTAAATGGAGGTTTGTTGCATAGGTAGATTACAAGTTTCTGTTACCTTGATTGTTTCTCTGTTTTTTAGTGCTTGTCCTAGTTGCTATTCAATGTCAGCAAAGATTTTTAAAATGATTGTTTGGTGGTGATAGTGGTTTTGGCATATAAACTCTGTTATATGGGGAAATAATATGAATCTAAAGTAAGTGTTATAAAGATGTACACAGATCAGATTTCTATTTCTTGTGTATTCTGACTTGTATATGGTTTGTGCTGTACTGAAAATCAAAATACTATTTATTATTAATATTATAGCAGTGCCTGGAATACCTAACCTAGATTGGGGACCTGTTATGCTAGGTACTGTATGTACATATAGTAATAGACTGACCCTGGCCTGAAGAGTTCATGGTATGACTAGGCAAGTCAGCCAAAGGATGGGAGAAAGAAAGTAGTATTAACATCATTTTACAGATGGGAAACTGAGGCACAGAAAAATTAAGTGCCTTGCCCAGGTTATCAGTGGAAGTCTGTAGCAGAGCCTAAAATGGAACCTACACCTCATGAGTCCTGGTCCATTGCCTTAAAAACACCACCTAGCTCTTAGTGATCATTACTAGTAGGTCTCAAAGGGCTTTACAAAGGAAATCAATATCATTATCACCCGTTTTATAGCTGGGGGAAACTGAGGCACAGAGAAGGGGAAGGGATTTGCCCAACACCACCCATCAGACCACTAGCAGAGCTGGGTCTAGAGCCCTGTGTTCGTGACTCCCAGTCCGGTGTGCTACCCACTAGGCCACACACTCCGTCCCTTAGCTACACGCCCATCCTTGTAATCTTTTGAACAATAACAATGATTTATTTTAGAAATTAGATGAAAGTTCCATGGAAACTTTATATTCTTTGAATTAACTCCAAAAACATCTTTTGAGACTCTCTGTTTTGCTTGAGAGTTTTTTCTCTATTAAAACATAACTTATTACTTGAGAGTTTTTTTTCTCTATTAAAACATAACTTATTACTATAATCGAGGAAACCAGCGTCACACAGTTCCTGAAATTTTTCTAAGTATTTGTGTAACAAATTAAGTGTGTGAACAAAATAAAAAAGAATCATTCAAATTATACTTATCAAGCCTCCACTTTGGTATGCAGGTGTGTTATCAAATAACATACTATATAAATGAGACTTTTGAGGACTTTTTTTCATTCTACTTCAGAGCAGAAGGGTGAGTGAACTCTTTTATAAAACTACAAAGAACTTCACTTAGGCCATGCTGCAAACATGCTCTCCCTTTTCATTTTCTATTATATTTTCAAATGCTTTGCTATATTTACCTTTATTGTTACTAGTCCAGTCTACTCATATTAGTGATTTCATCAGATGTGGAGTTGCTTGAAAAATGCTGGGGTTTTATGAATGAGGAGACAGAGGAAGAGCAAGAATTGGGATATCTCTATACTGCGATTGGGACACAACATGTAGGCATACCAGAGCTAGCTTTGAGCCAGCCAGCTCACTAAAAACAGCACTGTAACCACAGGGCCATGGGCAGCGGCATGAACTGGCCACCTGAGTATATACCAAGGGTCCGGGTGGGATTGCACTCCGGTGGGTATCCTGTGCCATTGCAGCTGCACAGCTATCTTTAGCAAACTAGCTCGATGGAAGCTAGGTCAGGTCTGCCTTCACATGCTGCAATCGTGCCTCGAAATTGCTGTGTAACATCCCCTTAGAGTGGAATAGTTGCTTTTCCATCTTAACATCCAAAGGATCAGGAACCTGGCACTGCATCAAGATGCACAAGTTTGGAGTCAGTAGGACTCCACCCATCTTCACCACTCTCACTATTTTAGCTGAATTATGCTAATAACTGAAGGAGAATTCGTGCTCTAGTACTGTACATTACATCCATTTCAGTTTTAAAGATTTCTAACTGGATTGTAATGAGAGCAGGTCAGAAAACATTTTGATTTTTTTTTCAAAATTACTCACATTTCTAAAATTTGAAAAATTTCAACCAGCTGTATAGTTGGTCAAAAATTGAGAAGAAAGTGTTGTCCAAAATGTCCTGTTTAGTTCTTGAATGTTTTCACCACTTTGTGTCATTTAGACTTGGTGTGAATTATAAAGTTATTTTACAGATGCAACCAGTCTATGATCTGCCATACATAGGGCCCTTCATTTTCAGTTTTTATTTTATTTAATTTTTCCCAGGAATTTATCAGTGTTTATTACCAAAACAACAAAATCAGGTGAAAATCGGTGCAAAAAACTATTAATAATTTTTCTGGGTAAATATCAGGGTTTATTTTGGTGGACGGAAAGACGGGGGGAAAGTATTCAGTAGATTAATGCTTTGAATTCCGTTCCTCAATGTGGTTTGCTGCAGAACTAAAACGGAACTCAAAACACAGTGCCACCTCTGAGTTTAGAAAACAATATATCGCTAATCCCCAAATAAAACTTTACATTTGAATAAACAGTTTACTGTTATAGACTTAGAACTATTGACCTATAAATATTTCATTTAATAATTGGGCCACACCATTTGTAAGCCATAAACTCACCTTCATCCTTTTCTCCTGTTTTTTTTTTTTTTTAACTTTTGAATACTTCTGAAATGTATTCTGATACAGATTTTCATTTTCTTCCCATTTTAGTGTGTCAAATCTTTAAAGCATTATCTACTAATAGCTTGAAATGTGTACGTAGTGGGTGTGAGATTTATAAGGGCGCTCAGATGCACATGCACTTCAGAGCTTGTGTGCATGTCTGCTTGTTTATCGAGTGTATCTTCTAGACTAATACATAGCCTTACTTCAACAGGCAGGTTTGCATATACACACAGACTAATATATTATCATAATACGTGTATCTCATGCTATGTATTGTATTTTCCTAATAAAACAAGTTATTTTTATATATTTGAATTATACAAAAGTAGGGTAAAAATTAGAAAAAAATTAACCATGCTTTTTGTAAAACCTGGCAATAGTTCAGTAAAAATTGGTTGAAAACTAAGGGACGTAGCCATACATAACATGAGAATCAATCCAGCTTGCAAGTTAATGTTTGGAATGATGCATTTTTCAAAACTGCCATGTAATATATTACATTTGATTCACACACATCAAATAAAAAAAGAGCATGATTTATGACCGTTGCCACCAAATGAATAATTGGTCATTTTAATATGATACACCGCTACCTCGATATAACGCGACCCGATATAACACAAATTCAGATACAACGCGGTAAAGCAGTGCTCGGGGGAGGGGAGGGGCAGGGCTGTGCACTCTGGTGGATCAAAGCAAGTTCAATATAACGCGGTTTCACCTATAACACGGTAAGATTTTTTGGCTCCCGAGGACAGCGTTATATCGAGGTAGAGGTGTACTTCCATAACCTCAATATAAATAGGGGGGGGGGGGAAACAAAACTTGAAAGATTTAATCCCAAACTGAAGACTTCATTCAAGGCCAAATTTGACCACTTCTTCATTATTTCCAGTTACCATAAATCAGATCCTATTTTTCTCAGTGCCGAATTGCATGGTAAATGCAACTTGTTTTTGTAGCTGGCCTGAACAATGCTGTCACTCCAGTCACTTCGCATACTTGCAGCAGCAGTTTTTTTTCTGGTGATGTGTCATGCTGAGGAGAAGTGTGCAGGAATTCCTGGAATCCCTGGCACCCCAGGAGCCAATGGATTGCCTGGAAGAGATGGCAGAGATGGTATGAAAGGAGACTCAGGCCCACCAGGTATGGTCAGTGGTTATCTCCCCTTTTAAATAGATGTATTGCTGTGTTGACTATTATGCTTAGTAAACTAAATGGTTTATCACCTGTTTCCTCGAGTCAGATGAAATAAAGAAATGGTGAGTTCTATTTAATGCATAGTGGAACCCTCTTACTGTGAAGTCAGTAAATACAGTGAATTTCTGCTTAGAGTGAAATTGTCCTATAGTTCCAACTTGTAGTGAACTTCTGGTGGTGCAACAACTCTCCGTGGTGTGGAGTAGGAGGAACATTTATGTTGTGGAAATGAGAGGGAAACAAAAGCAGTTCTTTGGCAGAAGAGTGAGAAGCTGAAGGAGAAAACGTGGCAATTTTATTAGAGTTGGTTAGGAATTTTCTGACCATTTTTTGGGTCATAAAATGTCAATTTGTCAAAATCATAATGGTTTGCAGAAACGGGTTATTTTTGACAAATCTCACAATTCAAAAAACGGGGGGTGGGGGGAGAAAAAAGGTTCAAAATTGTCAAACATCCAATTTTCATATTTTTTAAAAGAAAAGTTTGGGTTTTGGCTCAAACCCAGTTTTTGTTTCAATTTTTTTAGTTGAGTTGTAGTGTAAAAAAAGTGGGGGCATAAAAAAGTCAAAAACAAAATGTTTTGAAATTATAGAAATAAAATACTTCAGTTGACCTGATCCAAACTTTTTTTTACTTCTACTTTTTTGTCTTGATTTGGGACAGGAAAGAAAACTGATATCTCAGACTCTTGTGGAAACAATCTCCCACTCAGCTCCAACTGTTAATTTGTCCCCTTCCCCGTGACAAGCTTCCCTTACAGAAAAGGATTGTGGCTCCTTCAGCCATTTTTAAACCCACTTCCCAGTGTAAACATTAAATGGGACGCTGGTCTATAGTCCAAATTCATTTTTTTGCAAGAAAATTAGATGAAAGTGGTTGTTGGGCATAAACTACAACTGATTTCTTGGGCATAAGAGGAGAAGGCAACAGTTCAGGGTCTTCTTAAAATGAGAGCGAATTAGGGCAGAAAATTAACAATTGATCAATGCATTCACAAGCATAGCTTTCCCCATCTCTTTTCAATTACCCTTTCAGTGGGAACTACTTTTCATGCAGAAGGATACTTTCTATAATGTTCAACAAAACTGGTTTTTAAAATGAATTAATAAAAATGTAGTACCAGGAAGCAATTACATGTCAGTGTATTAATTAGGCTTCTGATGCACTTCTCAGGTTGTTGAAGCCAAGGGGCTGTATGCACCATTGGTCTATTAATGCACCACCTGCAGATGCTGATTGTTGCATTGTGCAATATTCCTTCCATGCCAAAAGGCAGGTCAGAAGCTTTCTCCAGCTCCATCACCAAAGATGCTCCAAGACTGAAGTAGTTGGGCTCCTAACATGCATTTGGTTGCTCATTCCAGGGAGTCAGTGTTTTGCCTCTGTTATGAAGCCAACAGACACCTGAGGCTTGTGCATTAATGAAGTTATTCAGAAGCACAATGCAGTTTGTTGCTTTGCTGGCCAGCATCTGTTAAACCCATGTTTATTCTGAATTTCCCATAAAATGCATCAGTTGAAAATAAATTTTGTACATTTTTCATTTGTGTGCTTCTCTTCTCTAGGTCCTCAGGGTCCACCCAGTGGCATGCCAGGTCTTCCCGGAAGAGATGGGCTTCCTGGGGTGAAAGGTCCCCAGGGTGAAAAAGGCAACAAGGGGGAGAGAGGGGAGCCTGGACCACAAGGTGAATAAGACAAATCTTTGTTTAGTCCAAAAAAACTGGATACTTGTGCTGTGTATAAAGCTGTCCAGGGAAAAGTAACTGAGTCTATTGATGTGCAGTTATGCTATTAGAAGTGACTGTAAAAATGGTGCCTTTGTTATTCAACTGATCTGCTTCCTGTATCTATCATATCAGACCTCCTGACTGTATTGATTAAAATACGTTTTACTACCTTTTACTCGTCTTACAAATGCAGAACCAACACAGCTCCAAGACACTGAATCTATTCCTCCTTGTGCAGCAGCAACAGAATCCTGTACTGAGTTTCAATCAGTTACAGTTATTCTACCCCACTAATGGCAATGGGACTGTACATGTGTCACTGATGGCATAATTTCATCTGCAGAAGTTTTATTACTGGTGATGATTTTGTATGAAAAAAATACCCAGCTTGATTCTCAGATACCATGAAAAACTTGCATTCTGGGAGTTTTTTTGTTTTTAAAATCTCTATATCTATAAACTATGAATATGTCATATGTCATCTTGGAAAGAACTTACAATGACATTTTTGCAGTCACTATTCAGATAGAAGCATACTGAAAAACTATTAGAGTTTAACGGACCATAAAGGAAACAGAGAAGAGAATTCCAGTTCTGTTCAATATCACAGGAACTCCACACCAACTAAAGTTTTACATTGTGACTGTCAAGTTGCAAATTTTAATCAGAGCAAGTTCTGATTAGCTCAGCCTACACAGGATACAGTTTCTAAAATATTAACCCTTTCTTGGATTTCACATACACAAAAGACTTCAGATTAGAAAAATTGAATTTATTTCACATGTAATGTGCTTTAAGTAACTATTCTCCAGTAGTTGAAACTCTCTGGAGTTTCAACAGGCATATAGTTTATGTATTATATATAAGAACAATCAATATGTGATAGGGTTTCTTTGAAAATATATAAATGCAGGGAAATAGAATTTTCCACCACAGAAAATGAAACTGACATACATCAAGTACAAGACAATTTTGGAAAATTGTTATTAATTGTATATGATGCATTTTTCATATCAGTGAAGTCCAGTTTAAATCAATTGTATAATTATTATTATCTCTAGGCCTGCCTGCTTCTGTTGATCCTGAATTGCAAGAAAGCCTCCAGGTTTTAAAACATCGAATTACCAGACTGGAAGGAGGTAATCTTTCTGCTTTTCCTCACAACTTCTGTAAAATGCAATGTACAAAATGAACCATGATAGCCCAACTTAAAGTAAGTTACATTTCAAAAATTGTATTCCATTCTAAAACTTTCCTCACCTAAACTTACTTCCAAGCACCAATTAAGAATGCTGAGGTGTTTGTTGCACATTGGAAGGACAGGAAAGCTGATCCAGCAGCCCAGCCTGAGATGTGGGAGACCAGGGTTCAATTCCTGCTCTGCCACAAATATCTTGTATGACCCTAGGCAAGTCATTCAGTCTGTCTGTACCATAACCTGGGGATAATAGCACTGCCCTACCTCACAAGGGTGTTGTAAAGATAATTGATGAGGCGCTCAGATACTGCAGTAATGGAAGCCACGCAAGAAAGATTGGTCAGTGTGTGTGGGTCTATGCAGTAGATAGTGCAATGCAAAAGGCTGTCCATAAGATGGGGCATAGACGGGGGCTTTGGCCTATATAACATACTGAGCATTCTGCATACTACATGTATGAATGGAGTGTCAGAACTTACATAGACTAGAATCAAAAGGGACTAGGCACAGCATAGTGCGAAGGACTGTACTGTGCATGTCCAGCATGTAGGGCAGCATGTGGAAATAAACATCAAGCAGGCTATTGCAGTTTGTCTTGCTTGTACATGTTGCTTTTTGGGAGTAGGTTTCCCTCACCATGACCAACTGATTAATGTGCCACTCCCACTTTAGGGAGTGGAATCTGCAAGTCTTAACAGAGCAGAAAAGTTACCCCCTTTTGTCTAACTCTCCATTGGTTTATTTATGAGGAGGATCAAGATACATGCAAGGTGAGGTGCGCGGCTCAGCTCTTTTGAAACACAGATCATCTGGGGAGGGTACTCACAGGGACTGAACTCCATCTGGAGAGGCTCAAATCCCTAATAGGAGACTACTTAGGGCCCATTCCCTCAGCAAGAGGATCTATAGAGGGTTGCCACAGTTGTTCTCCAAAGCAGATAAGATCTCTGTCGAGCTGACAAAGGGCCTGATTCTCCCCAAGTAGCAAGGACCTTTAAGGAAACGCCACTCACATTCATTCAAATTGCATTAAAAAAATCTTGTTAAAAAGGATTTTGTAGTGTGTTATAGTTGAGCTCTTGGGAATCATTGAAACTGAGGCAGTTGTATGATGGCAGTAGTGCTTATATTCTCAATACACTCTGGGGTGGTGTAGTCATTAGAGCTGTTGGGGAAAATGGGGGAGAAAAATCAAAGATTTTTGTCAAAATTACTTTCCCTTTCTCTTGTTAAAATTTGGAAAATTTCAATCAGCTCTACTGATTTCACATAACAGAGCAGGTCTGAAAATGTATTTAGTATATGGGAGTAGAGCACACTTAGGGCTGGTCCACACTAACCCCCCAGTTCGAACTAAGATACACAACTTCAGCAACGTGAATAACGTAGCTGAAGTCGAAGTACCTTAGTTCAAACTACAAGGTACTTACCGCGGGTCCACACGCAGCAGGCAGCCTCCCCGGTCGACTCTGCGTACTCCTCTCGCGGAGCAGGAGTACCGGCGTCGACGGCGAGCACTTCCAGGATCAATTTATTGCGTCTAGACAAGACGCGATAAATCGATCCCAGAAGATCGATTGCTTACCGCCAAACCCAGAGGTAAGTATAGACGTACCCTTAGGTTGTAGGAGGAGAGACAGATGTCCGTAGGTGAAGAATTATGTAGACTCACTGAAAAAACTAATGAGTTTGGTAGGATTGCGACAGAGGTAGTTCCTCCTTTTCTCCTCCTCTTCACTCTTTTCCTCTGTCTCTTTTCAATCCTCTTTCCTTTCTCCCTTTATTTTTTCCTCCTTCTTTCCCTTCCTATTTGTAATGTTCTCTTCTTTGCCTTTCTTTCATTTCCTCATGGTTTTTCTCCCTTCCCAGGAGTATAGTAGGAACATGGACAGTATAAAATAAGACAAAAAACCAACCAGATCTTTTCACTTTCCTTTGCAGTCCTTACTTTGGAAGGAAAACTAACAGAAGTGGGGGAAAAAATTCTCGCTACCAATGGGAAAGAAGTCAATTTTGAAACCACATTAAAAGCGTGCGAACATGCTGGTGGCTCCATCGCCACCCCCAGGAACAAGGAGGAGAATGATGCTATTTTGGATATTGTGAAACAGTTTAACAGATATGCTTATCTGGGTATAAGGGAGAGTGATGTTCCAGGTGAATTCCAGTGTCTGGATGGGAAACCTCTGAATTATACCAACTGGCATGCTCATGAGCCAAATGGCAAAGGAGGGGAAAATTGTGTGGAGATGTACACTGATGGAGGCTGGAATGACAAAAAATGCAACCAGTACCGCCTCACTATCTGTGAATTTTAAAGCATATCCTCTCAGTAATTTCATAGTGCAGAGTCCATGCAATATTCTGTGTCTCAGACATAAACAGGAGCCTGCTCTCTCAGCAATATAGCTAATGTCTTCTGTGATTATTTTATCTGAGAGAAACAAAATCATGATATAATATTTTCCTTCCTCATGCTACTAAGGAAATAGTAGCTATCGAAGGTGATTGATTTGTAACTAGAATTATCTCTAATTTGAGAGGGGGTTAATTATAGTAACCAAACTCTGCATTGTCTCACTGTGGCTGAGTAAGCTCCAGGTAAGGATTTCAGGGTTTGGCTTAGTGTGTTTGAGGAGTCCCATGCTAAAATAACTTCGTACATTCCATTGTAGTTACATGCCTAGATAATGCAGCATATACTATGCAACAACATTAGAGGAACAGGTCTCAATCCTGGAAGGAAATGCACACAGGTATATTTCAGTGGATCCGCCAACATGCATCTCTTTGCAGGACTGAGGCCATACTGTGTAATATGAAACCCTGCAATAAAATTCAACTCAGTTATTATAAAGGGAGATCACAACAAAAGCCCTGGAAATCATAGATCATTTAGCTATACTGCAAGATACCCATTTTGTTTTTGTGTGTCAAATACCCTGTTCTCCTATAGCACTATAGAAATAGTCATTTACAGTTCTGTCAAGACTCTTCTATATCATACTAACCACTGGACAAACAATATCATTCTGATGTGTAAACTGAATAGATTTTACACACCCACACAAACCACATGCACATCTGACCACCATCATCAGACAGCAAAGGCAAGGTTTGAGAAGAGGGCTGCCAGCAGTGACATAGGTCCTGATCCAAAGCCGTTGATTTCAAAGAGCCTTGGCTCACCACCACCACTACTACTACTTGGCATTCAGCTTGAGTAACTGGGCTGGGCATTGGGAATCCTCATAAGCAGAAGGGGGTGAGAAATTTCTCACACACTTCCCCATCCTGTGAAGCCAGACCTCTTGGTAACCAGAGTTTGCGGCCTTGAGGCCCTTAGAAATGTTCCTGAGGGCACATCCTGCTCTTCTAAAATGCATGTATCAGCAACTTCAACACAATTCTTATCAGGAAGGATGTGGGGTCAAGCTGCCCTTTCTGTGGCACCCAAAACCCCCTCCCCTCCTGCCTTGGTCAAGCTGAGGCTGCTGCATAGCCATTTTACGGCCTGCTGACTTGACTACTTTTAGCAATACGCAATAGTGGGTTCAGACACTTTACTGGTTTGACAAAATCTCCCCATACACAGCTTCCCAGGAGTGTCCTCAAACCATTCTCTCACCAATGCAGGGAGAGAAGGAGGTACCACGGGTATAGAGAGTAATAGACACACTGGTCCTAGCTTCTCCTTTTCCCAAGATCTTCCTACATGTTGCTACCCAGGGAGCCTGCATAGTGTTGGACTCTACACCATGCCGGGGAGTGATCTTTTTCCTATCCTACACTGTAGGGACTCCTCTGTATGGCCAATTCATACACTGTGCTTCAGCAAAACTTTGAGTTCCAATATTAGGGAATTTTTTGGCAGTAAAGGAGGAGTCCCTTGTACAGGCCAATACACAGCAAAGGAATGTGCAACATGACTGCTACTTCAAAATTGGCATAGAATAGCAACTCTTGATATAATGTCCATTATGTGGGCTTCAAAATGTTGAATCTTCACTTGCAAAATACCCTCTTTAAAGTCCTATTGTTGGAAAGTTGTCTTGGCCAAAAATATGCCAACTAGAATGGCATAGATTCTGTGAAGAAGGAAGATTTACTATTTTACAAACAAAACGCTTGGCTTTATCTATCTTTGATTATTACAGTGTAGCCACTTAGTTGATTTTATCATTTCATTACACAGCTAGATGGATTTTCCTTTCTTATATGAAGATTGCTGGATAACACCCGTCCTTGTGATAAATAGATTTAGGAGGGGTTATACTTCCAAAATCAAACACAGACCTGGAAACAGCAGGAAATCTGCCCCTTTTGTAGGACTTCAACATTGTACCAAAGCCAAAGTCTGATGCTGAGGCCGCTGTGGGTGACTTAACATAGGGTTCAGCCTGCATCTCCCAGTGACTTCTTTTCTTTTATATGGAGTTTCTCTTATTTTCTCCTGTTGTTTTACAGCATCTGGATGAGTGGGTTCTCTTCTCTTGGAGGCCGTGAAAGGAGCGATGTTTTGTGGTGCTCTTTAATGATGCAGCTACTGGTGTGCAAAGTAACTTGCTCATTCAGGTGCTGAAAAACACCTAGAGAGACAGTGTGGTTCACTACACTGGACTGAGACTTGAGAGCTTGGGTGAAATCTTTGTGCCACTGAAGTCATGGTTCTGTTTCTTGTTCTGCTGCTGTCATACTGTGTGACCTTGGGTGAGTTGTTTCCCTTCTCTGGGTCTGTTTCCCCTCCCATTCTTTGCCTTTCCTGTCTGTTTGGAATGAAAGCTATTGGAGACAAGGATTGTGTCTTAATATGTGTATGCACCGTGCCTCTCGGTACTACTGTAATGCAAAAATAGTAATAAGAAAAAATGAAGGATACTCTAGGACTCAGAGGCCCGACCGTCTATATCTGAGATGGTCAAGGTTTCTTGTACTGTTCCTTTTTGAACCTCCCCTAATGTGCAGTTTCTTGACTCCTAGAATGCACCGAAACCAATTTGGATAAACACTGAAGTTCGGAGGCCTTTTCTAACCTTTTTCAGGTTCAACCATCATTAATAAGATTATTACCTTCTCCTGGCCACTGCAGGAGTGGTTGTTACATGAACTGATGTATTAAAGTTTATGAAAACTGATATTTGCCCTGTAATTTTTGAGACAAAAGCACATAACGCTTGGTAACTTTACTCAGCTGTGTAAAGTTAATTAAATGTTCCAGGAAGCATCAGTGATTAAGTATTTATTCAGAAAAAGATTTTTTCAGAAAAACATTTGAGAATCAGGAAGTTAAGTGTATTTGACTTCTAGTTGGGAACCTGTCTAGCTCTTGTCACCTTTAATGACAGACCTCTATTATGAACCAATAGTTGTAATAGGCTTAATTCCACATTGATCTTTGAATTTGCCTATTTATAGCGAGCTCAGTTTCTAAAGTTTTCATGCACTGTGATAATAGTAACCAAATAGGTAATATCTAGTCCATTGTTCAGGGTATCATGACACGGTTATCCCCTATAATGTGTTCTCCAATGATCTCCAATTCAATTGGAAATATCTAAACCAATGGGGCCTCCACCACTTCCCTTGGGGACCATATACATTCAAATAGATGTCATGATTAAGAAATGTTTCCTGCTATTTAGCCTAAATTTTCCCCTGTGCTAGACTTCATCCCATTACTCCCAGTTGGACCAGCTCTAAACAACTCCTTTTCCTCCTTGGTGTAAACACCCCATCATTGATGTGATTGGGTGCCTCGGGCATCCCACTCTGAGAATGCCACATTCAGGGCAGAAAATCCCCAAAAACTGGTGGTTTATTCTTTAATTAGATTCACCCAACCAGTAACAAAACAGCTTCTGCAGTACCACACTGATTAACCAGAAACCAAACAACAGTTCCCTTAGGCATTTCAGCCCTTGGCTCCCATCTGGGCATCCCAATCTAATATATTGAGAGGTTATTGAAAACCCGCTTTACCACATGTGAGGTTCTTTCTAAGCCCAAAGGATCAGACCCATAGACCGAGGTCAATATATAACACAGATCTTACACAAATGTCATGCTGTCAGCCAATCCTTAGTAAACTAACTAAAGATTTAATAATAAAAGAAAAGAAGAGAGTGATAAATGGTTAATAGATCATATATAGGCAAATGATTGTGAAGTCCTTATATCAGGTCTGTAACACTGATGTCATAGGCTGCTGGCTTGTAAAGTCTGTCTGATAACTTCCAAAAGATTGAAAGGACCTCAAGTCATAGTTCAAGATGCTCTTTTTAGCTATAAATTCATAGTCCAGAGCAGAGAGCAGCAACATGGAGCTATTTCAGGTGTCTTTTTATATCCTCTGCCATATGCATGGAATATTACTGTCCCAAACAAAGCCCACAGCCCCTGTATGTGGAAAGTTACTGGCCCAAGATGGAGTCCAGGTTCACCTGAGCATATCACATGCCCTTACATGCTTTGCTGACTCATGCGGGTGGCCATTGGCTTCTTGCTGTCTGAGGCATGAAGAGCTATCTGGACAGGATGAGGGTTTGTCAATGGCCCATTGTGAGAGTGGCGTGACTGGGCAATAAAATGGCAGATTAAATTTAATGTTGATAAATGCAAAGTAATTCACATTGGAAAGCATAATCCCAACTATACCTATAAAATAATGGGGTCTAAATTAGCTGTTACCACTCAAGAAAGAGATCTTGGAGTCATTGTGGATAGTTCTCTGAAAACATCCACTCAATGTGCAATGACAGTCAAGAAAACGAACAGAATGCTGGGAATAATTAAGAAGGGGATAGAAAATAGTACGGAAAATATCATGTTGCCTCTATATAAATCTATGGTATGCTCACATCTTGAATACTGCGTGCAGATGTGGTCGCCCCATCTCAAAAAAGATATATTGGAAAAGGTTCAGAAAAGGACAATAAAAATTATTAGGGGTATGGAACGGCTTCCGTATGAGGAGAGATTAATAAAACTGGGACTTTTCAGCTTGGAAAGAGATGGCTAAGGGGAGATATGATTGAGGTCTATAAAATCATGACTGGTGTAGAGAAAGTAGAAAAGGAAGTGTTTACTACTTCTCATAACACAAGAACTAGGAGTCACCAAATGAAATTAATAGGCAGCAGGTTTAAAACAAATAAAAGGAAGTATTTCTTCAGACAACGCACAGTCAACCTGTGGAACTCCTTGCCAGAGGATGTTGTGAAGGCCAAGACCATAAAAGGGTTCAAAAAAGAACTAGATAAATTCATGGAGGATAGGTCCAATCAATGGCTTTTAGCCAGGATGGGCAGGCATGGTGTCCCTAGCCTCTGTTTGCCAGAAGCTGGGAATGAGTGACAGGGGATGGATCACTTGATGATTACCTGTTCTGTTCATTCCCTCTGGGGCACCTGGCACTGGCCGCTGTCAGAAGACAGGATACTAGGCTAGATGGACCTTTGGTCTGACCCAGAAGGGTCATTCTTATGTTCTTATGGAGTGTCTCTGATAGGCCATCAACACACAGCTGTCTGGCCCAGATGTAACTCTATCTGCTGGGTGTCACTCTGGAATATGCCACATGTTTAAGATACATAGACACAATTCATAACTTCAGACACAAAGGTAATACATGCATATGAACAAGATAATCATACTTAGTAAATCATAACTGTTCCATTGACACCTTACATGATATACTTTGTACAAGATATGCTGCTATTGTATAACAGTGGTAGCAACAATGATTCAAATGGTTATCTTTCTTATACACAGCAGCACAACTGACAATTTTGTGTGTGTGTGTGTGTGTGTGTGTGTGTGTGTGTGTGTGTGTGTGTGTGT